ATAAAATAATGGAAGTAGCACTTTATTTTAAATCAAAATTAAGAAATTATCGGCTTAAAACAAGCTCTTATATCTTGTTGAAACATTAGTTGTTAGTTAGATTTGTCTATGATTTTTGTCTATGATTTTTGCACTAAAAACTAGACCAAAAATACTTGGTAACATTTTGTCATTTTGTAGACAGAGATTTGTTCGGGAACACAGCAAAATATGGTGGTGGCAGAATCATGCTGTGTGGATGTGGACCAGCTGGAAGAAAAGATTCGAGTTTAAGTCCCGACTTCTAGACCATGAAATGTTTACTTCAATCACAACATTATCAACACTTCCTGGTTCATACTTTAGTGCTTTAGAATTTCTTAGAGATTTTGATTCAATGCAGTAAAATAGCCTGTTTAAAAATGGCAGCAGAGTGATGAAGACCTCGTAGAAAACTGAACCGGACTCTACTAGAGTGAGCGCTGCCACAAATCTCTCTGAGGGTTGAGAGCTGAAACTTTATCTGCTGGGCTGAGTCACTGCTCTTCCTCTCTATATGGGACATCCCCTTTAGGAGACATGGTCCTCCAAATCCTCATTTATTTCAGGAACCTGGATGTAGCCTAATTGTAATTTTTAGGACCTACTTTGGTGCAGTCATAAAAAATAAAAAAGAAAGTGTCCTCGATTGAAAATCAAACTTTAAAACATGGAGAAAGAGAAAAAAGCTACGCATATTTTCTAAAGAGATGGGTGATGAAAACAAGCTCTCTGAAAAATAAGACACGGTGAGTTTAAACCCACGCAGTCCAGAAACTCTGAGTGCTGACAGCACAGCAGTAAACAACAGACCCCCTTTCACTCCCACGCACGCACGCAAAACACAAACAGCATGAAAAGCAGGGCCACAAACGGATGAGACGAACAAAAGGAAAGAACCGAGTCAATCAAGCATCCCCAGCATGAGATCATTATCACCAGGCCAGCATGTGTTGCAGAGAAAGCTCAGCTGGGTAAGGAAATCATCTGGGACCAGAAACAGGCTTAATGCTAATTAATATTTCATGCGTTTCTTCCCCGGGATACCGCATGGTGTTAAATGTTAATAGCGGGCAGGAGCCGAGCCTCACCTCCTGAACGGATGCTCGGTGCCGCTGCTGTCCATGTCCGGGCTCGGGGGAGGGGCCGAGAAGGTGCTGAAGTTGAGGGAAAGGGGTCTGGGGGAGGAGCGGGAGGCGTGCCGCCGCCGGAGTCCGTCAAGCATCTGAGCCCAGGAGGGGAAATGAAGGCAAAACAGCCGTTAGGGTTACAGGAGAGATGTTTGAAAAAACAAGCAAGGTGGTTTAAAGTGAACAAAACAGTAGGGGGTCCCGTCCAGGCCTCCCTGTTCAGACTCTACAAACATGAAACTAGAGAGGAGAGGTCAAACTTGATTGATTCACCAAAATAATATTTATTTTCCCAATTAGCAGTTTAATACTTTTGTGGTTTGGTTGCTTTGGCTGCAGTGGGACATTTTTTTCTTTTTCTTTTTAACAAACCGTTCCTCAGTTCATTCCCAAGAAGGAGGTTTTCACAATTCACTGACCCAAAACCTTGAGCTGAATGTTTTAAGCTTATGTCCTTCACAGCGAGACACTCACCACCCGAGACCACTGGGAAAATAAGTATCAAACATTTCATCCTTTCCATGCACTCTCATGTTCAGGTTATGCTGTGGATTTTCCTTCAGATTGTTGCCTTGCTGAAAAATTCCCCCTCATTAAATCTTCTGATTCTTATTGAGTATGTTCCTTTAGTTATATCGAGTCTCAGTTCCAAGCCTGCCACAATAATACATTTTGCTGGACGATAAATTGTCCCAGAAGCTATTTTGATAATATTGTTGTTTTGAGACAATTTTCAGATAATACTACATTAATGGCATAATAATGCAATGAACGCAATCTGGAAAATCTGTGAACTTTAACGTCTAATCAACATTTAACACTGGAAGAGATTTTAAATATCCAAAACAAATGAACAAAATAACAGAAACAACAAATAAAATGAATTATGACACTTCTGCAAACAAAAGTTTTCTGAAACAAACATGGCTGCCAGGTAAAATAGTTTCTCTAGAAACTGCACTTATGAGTGTGTGTGTGTGTGTGTGCATGCGTGTGTGCGTGTGTGTGTGTGCATGTGTGTGATTGTGTGCATGCGTGACTTTTTGTTGTGTTTTGATGGATTGGGTCCTGTCCAGGGTGTACCTCGCCTCTCGCCAAATGGCTCCTGAACAAATTCACCATCTGGAATGGACTGATGGATGGACGTTTTGACTGCTTTGTATGTGTTTCACTTGAGTTATCACTGAAACCTGTTGTGAAAGGACAGGCTGCGAGTCCATCAACAGAGAGACGCACAGGGAGAATATGCCATGTCAACAAAACATTGCTACCAATGGCACCAGCCTCACAAGAAAAGTCTAAGAAAAAATATTACTAAATTTAGCATCTACTTTCCACACAATCTTACGGCAGCTTTCTTTGAAACCGTTCTGGAAGGTCTCCTGCTGCCCGATCAAAACCTCTTTCAGGACCATTGATCAACTCAAAGAAAAAAAGCAACAACTACATAAACCAGAAACATTAGTCAAAAGGGAAGAACAAAAACAAACCAATATACTGTCACTGTTTTCAATTGACAGAAGTTGTTATTTCAGAGTCTTCTCTGTCAGTTAAGAGTCATTCAGAAATAGCAGACGGCTGTTTGGCAATCGCCTTGCAGCCTTCCCGTAATCACTCATTACATCCGCGGAAAAAAAAGGGAACCAGCATGTGTGTACATGCATCGGTGAGTAAGTGAGTGAATGGTTCCTGTAAAGGCTCTGTGGCCTTACAGTTACAGTGCATTTGGGTGTCTCCCTGCATAGAAACACAAATCTGAAGCTCAACAGCAAAGCGCCATCCGGTGGTCAGAGGAGGGAACAACAGTCTGGCATGTCTCTCTAAAAGACAATGGTTTTACAGAAGAATGCCAGATAGTGGTGAGGAATGTTGATTGGCGTGTGTGAAGAAGGTCTGATCGATTATTGCTGGATCAAATCAAATCTGAGAGAGGAAAACAGAAAGCGTCTAGCAGAAACGCCAAGCCACGCCAGTCTGGGCATTTCTGCTTTTGTTCTCCCCTCCTCCTCGCCTGCGACTGCACTCTCACATCCGATCGATGCCGCTTTTTCATTTCTAATCGACCGATCTTTTCCGACCAATTGGTGTACAACTGAGCGGCCTTTCCCCCCCGACATTAGACGTCCAGTCTATCGGCGCAGACACGCAACCAACAGTCCACGTTTCTCCTGCAGGGGAGGACCGTTCAGCAGCGAGCCGTGCGTACGTGGAGCTTTCTAATTCACCACTACCTGCATGGATGAAACACCGGGGCTAAACACGCCCGCACGGATGTAAACACGCAGATGAGCAAGTAAAAAACAACAACAATCAAACAAACACACAACACACAGTATCACTGTTGGATACAAAGTTGGTGTGCGTGAAATGCGCCCACAGGAGCAGCAGCAGCCTGCGCTCACCGTTCCTGATCCCGTCGTGTCGCACCCGGTGGGATGAAGCGGTCATGTAGAGCCGAGAGGAAGCGTCTTCTGACGGGGACTCATCAGCGGGAGGCTCTTCGAGCTGCACCGCGCCGGATTGCGCAGCCACACGGGCGGGCGGGCGTCAGGGTGCGGGATGAAGGATCCGACCGACCGACCGACCTCTCATTCATGAGGCAGGAACCGCCGCTCGCTCTCTGGCTGCGGCTCGCCCCCGCTTTGTTTTGACGAGATGCAAAAAAAAAAAAAAAAAAAAAGAGGCACAACCACACACACACAAACCTGGTCGCTGTTACGAGCACGCACGTGAACGCGCGTTGTGGTTAAGGTTGTTATTGTTGTTATTATTATTAAAGCTGTGCGTGCGAGATGGGGAAAACCGCAGAGCTTCATCAGAGATATGCAGTTTGTCTCTGTAAGATGGTTTATTGTGCCACTTCATTGATGGGAGCAATAATGAGCAAAACAGGAAAGAGCAGCGGACATAATGGCAGATGTGCAGATAGTGGCGCAAAAAAAAAAAAAAAGAACTGCATGTGCCACATTGGCTCTTATCAGTGAGAGTGAGAAAAATAACATCCTCACCAAACACACATTATCTGCACTGGCTTTAAAAACAATGCTGCAGAGTGGAAGAGAAATCATACATCTGTTTTTGGATGGGTTAAACACAAACATCTAAAAAGTGCAACATGGATTTGTATTCTTCATCATCGCCAGAGTAAATAGTTTTGTACACTAGAGACTGGGAAAATGGTCCAATTCTGCACCTCCGTCATCTGCGAACAGAACATTTTAAGTCCTTCCCCAGATTCTCACTGAATTTAAGAGAAGACTAAGACCTAATCATTCTGGAATATGACTAAGTTTTAGTTTGAACCTGCCCCAAAGCTCTGGATGAATGTTTCAAAATATTAAGCTGTACAGGTGGAAAATAGCTGATATTATGAGACAAATTAACCACCAAAGGAAACATCCCAATGACCAAAAGAACAATAAATGATTAAAAACCTCACAGATATAAATTTTTCCATTTTATTTTTCATGTTGTGCTTGTGCAATTTCCAATAGACCATGTTATCTGCGGATTTGAATCTTTTAAAAGTATATCTGCCTGGTTTTTATTTGACTTTTTCTGGCTTGTCTTTTGTCTCCTCTTGCTTAAATTTAAAGATAAAACGTTACGACACAAAACTTCAAGTTCACCTCGAAATTTTTCCTACCAAAACTCCCTGCGCTTGCTCCTTATATTATCAGTTGTAGTTTAAAGGGGTCTAAATACATTTATTAAGTAAGTTGTCTTTTGAATATCGTTTTTTCTTAAATGATGAATTTTTAACCATTCCTCGTAGCCGTGGGCCTGTTGACACTTTCCTTTCCGACAGTCTTGAAGGCAGCATGAACAGGCTCCTCCCATCGGCAGTACGAGCGGGAAGTTCACGCTGTTGCTACTTTTCCAGCGTAAACTGCACATTTGTTACATATTTCTTTGGACTTTTATCATAAAAATAGCTCAAAGGAGCTGAAACAGGTGAGTTATACTTACATGTTTCGTAGTTATTGGTAGTCGGACCTGCATACAAACCGTATTAGCAAGTAAAAGGGAGGAATGAGAGCTTTTCCTGAAAGTATCCAACATTTAATAAACTCTTCACTGGTTATTTTTATGTTACAAATAATCTAGGAGTTTTAAATGAGCTACTCAATAGAAAGAGAAACTGGGACTGTGCTCCGTGTTCATGTACACCTATGGAAGTCCAAAAGGGCCATAATTCAACAACAAAAGTCAACAAATGGTTGACATTTACGTCACATTTCTCACTAAATAGAAAACAACTGAACATGATGTTTCATAAGTGGAATATTAACTAAACATTTGGAGCTTTTACAGTATTGACTCAAGCAAAAGCAAATATAGTAAGTTACCCAAAAGTAAATGGGAGAGCCTCCGGTGATGGAAGTAAAATAAGTGGAATATGAAAAGTTGCAACAATTTTAGTCATTTCATGGTGGACAAAGAAATAACTCAATAAATTCAGAATAAAGATGTTATCATGCGGCGAGTTCATATTTTAATTCATAAATCTCGTGTTTGTTTTCACTATTGGCCAATTTTACTAAAATCATTTATGTGCTTATTTCCCATTTAATTTGAGCTATGACATGTATGCATGATTATTTATGTTGTAAATGCATTTTTCCACTTTGGGCATTTCATCATTTTAGGACGACAGCTATGGAGGAGAAGAGAGTCCATGCATCATCCAGGAGCTTTGGACAAGTAAGCAGAGACAAAGTGGAGAGAAGCGCCATTTTTATATTTATTAAGGACAATAAGTAATAAATTAAACAAATGTAATTGATTATTGAGGTCAAACAAAGTTGCTAGCTTTGACAGATGTGTGGCTTGAATGAAGTTATGAATATTTATTTACGCTGCAAAAAATCTTTGTCCAAAAAATAGTGAGTTTATTTAAATTTTATGTGACATAAATTGTCTCTGATTTGCTCCACTGTTGAACTCCACTACTTGAATTTTTCCATGTATCCTTCAGTACTTTATTTTTTTAACTTAATGACTGAATGCATTAGACTTTTTTTGAACGATTGTTTAATTTTAATCATTAAGCAATTTTAAATTTAAATCTTATTGTTCCTGTGGTTCTAATGTTGGATGGAACCGATAATGCTGATATAATCTTAGTTGTACATGCTTTGGTCAATAGTTGTTGTTTTAAAATATGCTTTCGAAATTAATTGACTTGACGAAAGCTGAGTTGGGTTGAAAGGTTATGAAAAACACAGCATGAAAACTGGTTCTTTTTTTTCACGTTTACATTTGAAATGAATGAACCAAAGATCAAATCTGCTCTGCAGTTAACTTCTCCTTAGTGTTGGATAATCCAGTTCTTAATCTGACTGGAATTATAGGACTTAAAACAGAGTTGATTCAAGCTGTAAAAGATTGCAACAAATATAAATAAATAAAGAAAGAAAAGACAATTTGTATAAATAGTGTATTGAAGTTCTGCAATATCTAGGGTCAGAGAAAAAAAAGTTTGGCTTTGTTTTCTACCTCAACTGAATGGAAAAACATACATTTTTGAAAAATAACGTACAATAATTACAGCTCTCTTCACCACACTCCTGAATGGGAAGCACTGTGTTGTTTAAATTGGTTTGTAAACTTGAACTTAACTGATATTTACTAGAATAAGAAACAAATCTAGAGTTAAATGACATGTAATTCATTAAACGCCTACTCTATAACATGCTGCACCTGTCTCTGGACAGTGCACCTACACGGCGGAGGAGTACCGGGCCGTGCAGGACGCGCTGCGGCAGCGGCTGGGACCCGAGTTCATCAGCTCCAGAATGGCTGGAGGAGGACAAAAGGCAACACTTTGTGTTTCTTCAAAGCCGTGTCCAACGTTTTAAAGACTTCCTGCAACAAACCACCTCTGGGGTTTGAGCTAAATGGACCTTTTTTTCCTGTTTTGGACAGGTTTGTTACATTGAAGGACATCGTGTCATCAGCCTGGCCAATGAGATGTTTGGATACAATGGATGGTCTCACTCCATTTCCCAGCAAAATGTCGGTAAGAAGTGCTTGTGCAGTCGACGTCAAACGCAAGATGTTATTTGTCAAATGCCAGTATTTTGTGAGTAGTAAAGTAATGTACAATGATTTTTAATTGAAAAATAATCAAGTTTTCCTTTGTTCTCAGACTTTGTAGACCTCATCAATGGGAAGTTTTATGTTGGAGTCAGTGCGTTTGTCAAAGTGCAGCTGAAGGTTGGACAATCACTCTTCATTATGTGATTCACAAACTCTTCGTTAATGTCTGCTTGGAGGATTTTTCTGTCTTGTTGCATGAGAATCACAAAATTCAATGCATTTTATTGGGATTTTTATTTGACAAAGCAACACAAAGTAGTGCATAATTGTAGAGGAATGCTTGGTTCTCCTGATTCGAATGTGAAAAAGCGAGGGGTGCTGTTGTAATGAGACCCTGAAATAAGCAAAACTGGTAAAGCCAAATGGCAAAAAAATGTTGTTGTCATCATCAATAACAGTTTGTGAAATGGATCGATTTGCTTCCCTCCAGGATGGGTCGTTTCATGAGGATGTGGGGTACGGAGTCAGCGAGGGTCTGAGGTCTAAAGCTCTGTCTCTGGAGAAGGCGAGGAAGGAAGCTGTGACAGACGGCATGAAGAGAGCTCTGAAGTAAAGAAGAATTTCATGCTTTTCTTTCTCGAATTTGCTTGGATTGGTGCAGAAAAATGAACGTCTCTATTCATCACGGGCAGATGTTTCGGCAACGCTCTGGGAAACTGCATCCTGGATAAAGAATACCTCCTTGCGATCAACAAGATTCCCAAACAGGTGAGGAATGACGAAGCTGAAGCTGAAGCTTTGTGTCGATGTTTCTGTAATCACCGCTTCTCTCTGCACAGCCTCGTCCGGATCTGGACCCGGCACAGACAAAGCGCTGCGAGGGCCAGCCGTCCATAGAGAAGGCCCGCTTCTGCAGTCTGGTCAGAGATCCAAACGCAATGAGTGCAATAGAACCTGCCAGGATGCCGCTGGATCCCAGAGTCTTCAATCAGAACCAATCAGAGGCCCGCCGGCCCAGTTCAGCTGACTCTGCAGCCGACATAAAGTCAGAAAACGTCTCCAGGTGAACACACCGTGCTTCGCGGGGCGATCTCGTTTGTCATCTTCGCTGTAAAAGCACTTCTTACCGTCGCCTTCGTCCTCTAAAGGTCAGCCGCAGACGGTGCTGATGTCGTCATATCCGCCCCGAATACGGACCCCAAACATCTGAGGAAGCTGCGGCAGCAGCAGCTGCAGCAGGAGTTCAGGAGGGAGATGGAGGCCAAGAAGCTGCAGCAGAAACTGCAACAAGCAAAGACTGAAGAGGCGGAGGTCACGATTGGACGGAGATCCACGGGAGGTAGAGGTCCAGCCAGAGAAAATATGATTGGCACAGTTTAGTAAAGCCTTAATCTTTTCTGTGTTGTAGCATAGAAAAGATTAAAAGTGTTTGAATTTGCCGTACTTAACAAAAAGTACATTTTAAAGGTGAATCACATCCAAGACTGTTGCAATAAATGAATTCATTGCACGATAAATTAAAATGAACTCAATAATCATTAGAGATGTTTCCCTCTTAATATTTAAAAATAATACAAACATTTGATGACAGTAGTTGGCTTTTTTTTTCTTTTTTTCAAACTCCTGACATTTTTTCCTGATTAATATTTTTTTGAAACACAATTTTGTTTCCACACACTTCATGATTAATTTTAATTATTGTTGTTTTGTTTATTTATTTTGAATTTAAAATGTTTCCCAGCTCCAGTGTTACATGTTCGTTAGAAGTTAAAGGTTTTGGGTCTTTGAGAGGATGCACTCGCATTAATGTACCATTTTTATTTTAGTTGAAAATTGTCTCAAATGGCAATCATTTCTGGGACAATTTGTCACTGAGCAAAATTTCTTATTGTGGCAGGCCTAATCATATCCATTTTGTAGATAATATAGTAATGATTAAGTCAAATGATTGTGAAAACATCTGTCTGACAAATCTGATTCCATGAAAGCATGATTGATTGCTTCCCACAAAAAAACTTAAAATATTGTAAGGTTGTCAATAAGAAAGTTATTCTCAATTAAAGTCGATTCACAAACTGGAATTATTCTGCGTCCATATATTACATGTCAAGATTTGATCTCCAGTTTTTCTTCTTCTACGCCTCAGGTGAGGACGGTGCGTCTGCGTTTAGCGACAAACCAACATCCGGAAACCAGTCAGGCAGCAGGAACACGTGTGCAGGTAAGATTATTCAAACAGCATAAATAGTCGAAAAGTCTTAAATCCTTCTCATCTGTGATTACAGTGTTTTTGCAATTAATAACTTTTTTTCACAGGTTTTCAATTGGAAGTGTAGATCTTAAAGAGCAGGTTTCATGGGAAGGTTCATTCAGTTTGCATGGTACCGATCCATTAAAGTCTAAAATGTGGACAGTAATTAGTTACAAGTAGGCGTAAGCTAATATTTGACCGTTCTGAAATCTCAACTGGATCAAACAGTACTTTAATCCATCGCCTCGGGTTTAGTTGCTGAGGTTTCCTCCTCCTGTCTTGCTGTATCTGCAGACGATCCAGAACTCTGGGATTTCACTTTGGATGGGATCGAGGAGCTGGATGATCCCGCAGGCGCGTCTTCTCCCAGAGGGAGCGTGCCCAGAACGCCGGGGGGTCACCAGATGCAGACGCGAAGTAAAACCCCTCAGAGAGCGTCGACCGGAAGCCCGAACGCTCACTCCGGACCGCCACACAGCAATCAGTGCCAGGGGAGACCAGGTAGAGCATCTCAGAGTGTCTGAGCCTCTGGTTGAAGTTTTTATTTTAACTTCTACTCCTCTTGATTTCCAGGCGAGGCCTTCAGTCCTTACAGACAAGGACAGCAGCTGAAGAAACGCCGGCTGGACACATGACACTTTACTCTGCGCTTCGATTAAAACCTTTGTTTTATTTATTTTCAATATACTTGTGTTCCTCTTGCACAGCATTGCTGCTGCATCACAATGTTTGCACCTTATTGATCATAGAAAACCTCTTGTGCACCATTACGGTCTTAAAAGTGTTTTAAATAGAAAAATCGGAATAAAACGTTTAAATCTTTTGAGGAATGAGCAGACGGACAAATGACGGCGACATCGTTTGTATTTGATATTTTTATTTGTTTTTACATTTTGTACAATGTGGAAAAATGTACACAAAACAGACACAGAATCACAGGAAGTCAGGAGGGATCAGATGAGAGTAGAACTGTGCGCCGGGGCCTTTCACAGGACGGAGGGGGTTCTGGGAATTGTGTGATCGCACACCGACGCTAACCTTTGGGAGCTTGTGTTGTGCAGTGGTCAAGTTGTGAAATAGTTGTTTGTTGATGGGAATAAACACCCAGTAAAGCGAGCATGCTGATAACCTATTGCTGAGGTTGTGCCTGTGACATCGACGACTGTCAGGAAAGCAAACGAGTAAAAGAAATACTTATCAAAAACCTTGAAGTTAACACTTCATCAGCATGCAAATGTTTCCAACACCCCTCGCTCCCTATAAAACTTTAAACATTGCATATTCTGCATTGCAGGAAGTCATTTTTTTCTCTAGAGAAGTTAAACAATTTGATCTACAAGCAGGCGAGAGAGTCACAACAACAACAGCATGGCACTGCTGCGAGGTGGTGAGACAGCAGCTGAGTCAGCAGGAGGACTTTTGAACCTTTGTACAGCCCACTCTCCACTTAAAACACGTGCTTCTATAAAGTTGTTTAGTAATAAATTCACAAAGAAAATGTCAGCAAAAAAAAAAAAAAATCCATGTTCCCACGAGTCAAGTAGAAATACACAGCTGATTACACAACCAACACAAACGTAAATGTAGAGAGAAAAGAAACGGCACATTTTGACTCTGTGCTCTCGGTTCTGCGTCTGTTTCGGCGTTGCATGCTCTGAACCGACCGGGTCGAGTGGCTTTTAACTTTTTTTTGTACTGGTTTAAGCTGCAGGGCCTGGATGAATCTGGAACCGATCATTAGTGAGGATGCAAGGCACTAAAGTGTTCCTCGTGTTTACGGCTTAGAGTGCATGTGCATTAAGAGTGGTGACGGAGTATTATGTGAAAGCCTCATATTTACAAAAACAACAACGAAAAAATAGGAACTGGGTGCAGGGCGGTCATAGAAGAGCTTAATAAAACAGCAGGCTCACTCCTGCACGGTGAGAACGATATTAACTGCAACCACCCTGCAATTGCACTTTTTAATATTTCTTTACATGTTGTTTAACAACCTTTTAATAATAATTACAGTGAAACAACATCAAAATCTGATGGCTGAATACAAGTCCATAAAGAACGTTTGTCTGTTGTATTAAATATATGCTTACAAAAACAGATCACAGAGAAAACAAAACAGAAAAAAAAAGAAACAGACACTTTGGGATGTGAGAGGTCACAGTTAAATGTTATGGGTACAAATATCTTGTGGGACATGACTTTGCAGTAAACCCATGTATTTGTGTACTTTGCACCGCCTGGCCACACAACAGAAAACTTCTTTAAATACTATCCCAAAAATATTAATTTGGATACGATATGCATGTTTATCAGCAATAACTCGGCTGAAGTAAAAGAAGGGATTTGATGTTTGGGCGGGGTTAACTCCTGCAGCGGCGCCTTGTCAGTTAAACTAGTAGTGATCAACACTGTGAGTCGATGTTCTCACAGGTGAATCTGGATGATCAAAAACTCAAACCACAAAGATTCTCACAGAGACGGGAATATGTCAGATATAGAATCAGAACCCAATGGACTGATCTCTATGTACAAGGTCAATGTTTAGATGTGTTTGGGGATTAAGGCCACGGTTATAAGGGACTGTTATCTACTTCACCATTATTGCATTTTACTCAGTAGTCTCTGGGATCTATCTGTACTGCGGCTCTATCACTTCTCCCTGACTTACCAAGTCCTTCCTCTAACCTTACAGAATCACTCCACTTCTTATTTCACACTTTCTGTACACTTAACACTCTCTTCCCCACTTGCCAAACGACTTTACTTCCCACCACTGTGTGGACCGGCTCCACCGTCTTCAGTCCCAGCTTGTTCTAAAGTCCAGATCAATAAGGATGAGCGTCCCAGTCCCTCCTAAAGGAATGACGATGTTGCAGCATCTTGCTTTTCAAGACACCTGTGGCTGCTTTTGGTTACGCCTTCGGTGTGCGGTGCTTCTGCGGACACCGCCGCCTGACTCGTCACAGCTTGCTTCCACAGCTAACGGCAGGCTAAGAATGACGCGCTTTGTGCCGTGGAGGTGTATTGCACTCTCCCACCAGTTGTCAGACAGACTGAAATCTACCTGAGAGGACTCGAACCACACCGGTCAACTCTTCAACAGAAATAATACACAATGTTAAAAAAATGAAATAAAAAAACAAACGAAAAACAACAAAAAAAGCACAATACAAAGCCAGCTAACCAGCAAAATGCAAAGAGAGGCTGTGGTTCTTGGGTCAACAACTGCCTGACCTCTGACCTCTCTGCTCTGTACGGCCCTTTGTCTCAGCTTGGAGCAGGGCCTGGACGGGGCTACGTAGGCCTTGGACTGGTCCCTCCGTGGCTAACCGTGGCCTGGCTGGTCTGACCTGTTCCCATGTGGTAGCCCTGGTGCATGGACACTGAGACAGTAGTGGGGGGCTGGTACTGCTTTAGTGGCTGAGGGGGGGTGTGCATGCCGACCTGGCAGCTGCCCGTGGGTCCGGCCCACGCAGAAGCACTGTAGGAGGCTGGAGCATAGCCGAAACCCTGGCTGACTGGACCTAGCGAGCCTTTCCTTTGCCCCAGAGGGGCTGCGGGATTGGCCGGGTTGGGCAGGTGGGTGCTGGTGGTGGTTGTGCAGTTGGAGGTTCCGTGATGGGTTGGACCCAGCTGTCCCGGCGCTGAGAATTTACGGCCCATATTCGCTGGAGGGATGATCTGTGTAGCAACGAGAAGGGAAGGATTTGTTGAAATTAGGGCTGAAACAACTAAGCAAATATTTAAATAATTGTCAACTAATTCGGTATTCAATTAATCATTAACTGGAACCTACAGACAATCTGCTGAAAGAACACAGAGCAGTAATAAAGCCAAATCTGTATGGGTGAACAAAAGATGTATATTTAAGATAAAAACCTTCATTGCAAATCTTTTCCACCCAGTTTTACCTTCATCTGCTTCATAGTCTGCTAAAGCTATTACACACCTTTCACTGTCCAATTATTAATCAGTTCATCCAAAAGTTAAACTGATCTTTGACACCTATGCTGCGTTGATGTCAAAGGTCTGAGCTTTTCACACCTTGATGTTAGAAGTATTTTTTAGCTGCAGGTTGAAGCTAAATCTGGTTAACTGGTGCTCGATGTTGAAGCTGGTCTGAGACCAGCTTCAAATCAAAACCAAGACGAAGGTGTTACATCAAATCTGTGCATATAAAAACAACTTTAACGTCTTAAGGCATCTGACCTGCTTATGTGAAAGTGTCACATTTGGATCTGGTGCTTATTTACAAAGAAACCAATAATTGCTTACATAAGAAATAGTGTAGATAATGTGCTACTAATTCACTAATTCCAGTGGAAAACATGTTTTAAAACATGAACATATTGATCACCTTGTAGATCAACATTGTTATAAAGAGAGCTACGATGTTTCTGAAATACGATTCAAACAAACTGCTGTGAACTTTTATGATTTATTTTGTTTTTTTAACTGGAGCTGTTTGAAGATGGTGATGTATATTTTGGCTTCAGCTGATCTCTACCTTCAGCCTCCAGGACCAACTAATCTGAGCTGAGATTTATTTACTGCATGTAAGATATCAGCTGTTTATAGTCCCATTTTGAACAACTATCCCTTGAAATAAAAACCTAAACTGAAGGCTTACATCCAGTCCCAGAGTTGCAGAGGTTCCGGTCTTAGGCCCTTTCTTGGCGTCTCTGGCAAAGTTATCCACCAGCTGGTGCATGTCATCAGAAAAGGTGCTCTTGGTTTTCTGGGTCTGAGATGCTGACGGAGCCGCTCCACCCATTTGGGACAGAGAGTTAGAGTTGTTCTGGCCGAGACTCGACCCATTGGAGGAGCTGGTTCCACTTGATCCTGCACACATATTTTATACGGATGAGCTGCGAACTGGAGAAACATTTCAGTTCCTGGTCGATGACATTAAGCATACCAGTGGAAGAACTACTGAGGCTTGGCAGCGATGGAGACGATGCGAGTGGTTGTACAGATGAGCTAACGCCTCCGTCAGCAGCCCCCGTTGCAGACGGTAAACTCTGCTTCAGAGGCGACTCTGACCCATGACTCTGACCTGAGCATTAAAACACAAGGATTAAACATTTAGGCACCACGTTTTATTGGAAACCGGGATGATCAGCCGCCTGTCCTGACCTGAATGGCTGGGACTTGGCTGTCTGCTGCTGCGAGATTTGTGGCTTTTGCGTCTTCGCCGACCTCCGCCCAGAGCCACGGCAGGGGAGACGACAGTCGGAGGTGGAGATTTCCCCATTTTGGAGTACAGTGCCTCTATTTCCTCTTTCTGACGACTCTGGAGGAGCTGAATCTCCTTCATGTGTCTGCAGGAGATATTAAGTTATCTTTTTGAACTTGCATGATGTAAATCTCAACAGTAAGTAAATGTTTGACGCACTTTTCTCTGAGGCGACTGATTTCTTTCTGAAGTGCTTCGTCCTCTGCTTCAGAGTCCCCCTCACTGGTTTCATGGAGTTGTGGGTTTGGAGGGTCAGAGGTCGAGGACGACGGTCCGTTCGGCAAACCGCTGCCATGTTGTGAGCTGGAGTTTGCTACTGGAGCTGGCGTCACTGCAGAAAATCAAACAGTGAACATCATTCCTTGAAATAAAGTTTCACCTCATGATACAGAAACATTTGTCATCACTGGGTCTGATGGATTCAGCATAAACATCATGCCAGCTTGA